TGTCTTCTCTAAGATTGTAACCCGCTTCACCCAGTGCTATATTCAGAGGCGTTAGCACTGACCTCTGAATTTAAATGTCATTGAAGATTTAATGAAATGAAACATTGATAAGCAAACTGAAGTTGTCAAGTGTTGGTTTGTAGAGATTTGATTGATTTTAAGTTAGGTGGCAAACTGCCATCAGTTTGCAAAACATTAAAATCGACTAAATTCCTGACAACCAGCACTTGGAAAATAATGTGCTGTTAATTAGTGACTGACCATAAGATGAAGTTGTCTAGAATTCCAATCAGAAGTGGTGACTTCTGGAGTTCACCGAGTCCGGTGTGACGAGATTTCCTCTCAGATGACATTGGCTGACGGCTGCTCTGCATATTGTGAAATGACAGAAATTAGAATTTATGGACTATCCAGGTGACTTAATGGATAGCCTGCTGACTTCTAAACATGGAGTTCATGGGTGTGTACTGATGAAGAGTATGGAATTAGGACAAAATAACTGTCCAGTACTCTCCGATTTCCAGAAATTCTGTAGCTGATATCAGTTATCAATGAAACTTGAAACTGATGTTTGACAGTCAGAAATATATGAAGAAAGGTTACTGTATAGTAGAGAGGAAAACTGAACAGATCTGTTGCATATTTTAATCAATATCTCATGAATGAGATTGTGAAATGAGTATACAATGTGTTGACAAATTGAGGTATTGATGTAATATTTTGTGCGCCTTATTTTTGGTGACTGAAGCATTTAAATATGAAAATCCGAGACAAGTAGTGTTGAGTGTGTGAGTGTTTCTGGAGAATTCGTTTTCTCTATATATGCAATCGCAGTTTTATGCAGTTTTTCTCGCATAAGATGATAGTAACAAAAGACGTGAATTGTTGTAATCACGGTCGTTAGTATTAATCAATACATAAAAGAAGTTAGTTGTTCAATTGTGGTAGAGTGATATAATGAGATCTGTAGTGAGTTGTAATCATGATGCGCATAGAAACGAGGAAAAATGTGATATTGCGTAGGAGCCGGATAGAAATATTAAAGTTTTAAAGAGATTAAAAACCCAAGTCGATAGAAAACAACAAGGTCGTTATTTTGATGTCAGAAATAGTTGAATAATTCCGTTATGTATGCTGAGCTCCTGTTTCTCTGTCGGAATGGCTAGAGCTTCAGCAGTGTAATGAAGATGACAGCGTTATTGTCGCTCTTCACATTGTAGATCCCTTTAAAATAGGAGTTTATTGAGATGGAATTCCCAGTGTCGACATGTTGCTCAATTGTCGCAGTGCTTATAGAACTGTTGCTATCTTTCTGTAACCAAGCTGGATAGTTCCCTTAAACTCTTTTCTGCTGGATAAACGTCAAACGACCAATATATGTAGGAACAGGGGAATTAATGTTTACATGTAGAAATGGTCAGATGAGAAATCTTGTCTTTCAGGCTTCTGTGGACTAGTGGAAAACTGAAGAACACCACTCTTAGCTTTACTGCTAGGAATATTCTTCTCAAAGATGTTGAAATTCTTCTATTGAGGACATCCGTTGGGATGAAATTTCATGTAAATTTTATGATCTTGCACAAACGATGTCTCATTTCTCAGGACTTTCAGCCGTACCCAGCGTTTGCTATCCAAAAGAATCAGCGAACACTTACCATCATGGTTTTATAAAGGAGAAAGAAGATCCCCCCGCCACAGCTCTATCCTAGAACACTTGATCGAATCCGGACACCAAGCAAACCCACAAAGCAACTTCTCAGTTATCTACACAATACGTGGGAATCTTGCCAAAAGAGTACGAATTAAACTTCTTCAAACTGCAGAAGCAATGGCAATTCACATATTGAATCCTGAACTCTGCATACAAAAGAAGTTTATTCAGTCACTAAATCTACAATGGTCCTGATCTATCTCAACACCAAATACGTAATTTTGTCTTACCTCTTTCTTCTTTGTTTGTCTGTTTCTTAATTGCATTATTTTCTACCCCCACCCTCTATTAAATCTCTACCCTCATGACGACTGTTGCTAACTCCATTTTCGTTTATTTTTAAGTGAATTCTACTCAGCTTATCAACTTAACTCTCATCTATTTTCAAGTGAATTCTACTCAGATAATTAACTTGACTCTCATTCATTTTTCATTGAACCCTAGCAATTAGATTACGTCACACAACCTACTTTTGTAACTTTATTTTAGTTTCTAACCGATTAACGCCTTCTAAATTACGTAATTTGTTGTCAAAAATTAACAATTGCATTGACACATCTTTGGAAATATTCCTTTTGTTGCCAAGAAAAATTACTATAAATTTGCGGTTTGTACAGCTTGAGAATGATATCGCCGAAAAGAGTAACTCTTTGCTGAACGCCTTTTCTTTTCTTTTCTATGACTAAATGGGAATTTTCTAATTACTCAAATATTTTTGTCAATAAATCTGAGTGGATTTATATTCTGAGTGAAGATTTCTTTCGGAAGGTTTGATTCTTCTTCTAGAGAGTCAGGCATGCAAACAGTACAGATGTGAGTAGCAAGGAATATGGGTAAATTTAATTTTAGACCACTATGTATATATGTATGTAGCGGATAATTTTTAAACCATGAAGGTTAGGCTAGAAGGTCTTGCAAGTGACTGTCTAATTCAGCTTCAGAAAAAAATTAGAAAGAGACAGTTTTTCTGCCTGAAGTATGTTTTAGCAACTAAAATAAGCTCACATAATTAATCAGCACTCAGTATTTTATGTCAGAAGTGAATGTAAATACATTAATGATATCTATCGCATTTTCTGTCCTACTAAGTATTACCTACACAAGATGGTATCAACTATGGTCAGTACTTAAAATCAGTTAGAGGACCATTGAAAACCAGCACTGGAGTACTGGGCAGTTTTCTCACCCAATCTAGGATGAAACAGCTGCCCAATACTCCCTGGTTTTCAGGGGTTCTCTAACTGATTTCAAACTCGTAAAAACAAATTTAATCCTTAAAAACCAACTGTTGAAAATGCTTAAAATGTTTTACTGACAATGGATTATTAGTATCAACACTTCGAAAATTCGGTTTTGAGAGGTTCAAACTCCAATAAATCTTTTAGTGAATGAGTAAAGTTTTCTACGATCCACACAAATCTGTGAGTAGTTTTTGTACTATACTCATTAAAAGTGTGCAATCATTTAGTACCTACTTCATCACTCTGAAATCAGTGTGAACGTCTACTATCCTCAGAGTAAGTAACAAGATCCGAATTTTTGACACCAATGTCTAGTCAGTACTCCCATATGGTTCTGAGACTTGTCGCCTCTCACGATGCATTTTTACCAGTTTGCAGACTTTTGTCAACACCTACCTATTTCGTTACCTCTATACTGAAAATCAGATAGCTTGCCGGAATGGATAAGCATTAAGGCACCTCTACAACAGAACAACCAAGACCCTATTTTTCAGTAGATATGCAAGAAATGAAAGAGGTGGATTGGATATAATCTGAAATCGACTGTTGAAATAATGCGTCAGGCAGATCATTGAGTGGAACCCGGGAGGTAAGCGATGAGTTGGGCGTTCAAGTTTGACATGGAGATCGTATAAGAAGGAAGTGAACGCTTATCATGGAGCCAGGTGTCAAAGACTTCAAAGAACAAAGTGAGATGGTGATATACTTCCCAAGCCTGACGTTCAGCTGTGAGGCTCAGGGATTAATAATAATGATAATAATTGTATAATTGCAAGTTTTGGAAAAATACCGCTGTCAAACTTTGACGCAATTCAATTTGGTACTGAAGGTTAGGGGAAGTAATGGTTTCTCACCCCACTTGATTTCTGTGCTTGTTGTTGCTTGACTATGTTTCACATTAATCCTTCCCTGGGATAGATCGCACCGTATGAAATAGAGGACTTCCAAAAACATTGTGTCCATATTCTTTGCATTCCCGAGACCTTACCATTTATGTGGAAAGTGCACATTTTCAAGAGTTGGATTGTAAGGATTAGATTTGTTTTTACGAGTTTGACCACGGATTGATATCAATTACAGAACCATTAAAAACCAGTAGAGAGTACTGACAGACAACTGTTTCATCCTAGTTTGGGAATCATCAGCAGTACGCACCCACTGCGGTTCGAGCCCAGGATGTCCCACCGATGACACTGGTTGGTGGTTGCGCTAAATCACGAGTTGGCAGAAGTTAGAATTCATGTGTTGGCAATTGAATCGAGTCCCAGTGGCTAAATGGTCTGCGAGTTTGTTTTGTAACCGAAGGTCCTGGGTTTGAATCCTGACAGTGGGTGCGTACTGCCGATGATTCCCAAACTAGGATGAAACAGTTGTCTGTCAGTACTCTCTACTGGTTTTTAATGGTTCTGTAATTGATATCAATCCGTGGTCAAACTTGTAAAAGCAAATACACATTTATTCACACAGAAGAAACTTGTCTACTAACGTCTGCTACCCTACACATGATTCCAAGCTCAATCACTATCAATATTTTGTTAATAATATATTTTTGCGTTCTTCGGTATGCCATTTGCTGGCATCATTTTCTTAGCTAAGCTAATTTTTCACTTTGTTCACCTGTTACTTAACGCATTTTGATACTCGTCGCTATACTCTTTCGTTAAGAGTCAGTATCTGTAAACTTTTCTACTTATTACGTAACCTTTGTTCTAAATTTATTATTCTTTAACACCTTAGTTACAATTTAGTTAGTCTTCACTTGTTTGATGATATTAACAATATTCCAACCTAATTCATTTTCTTCTTGTGTCACACACACACACGCACAACTTCACAGATAAGCGAATGAACTCGGTGAATTTGAGTCCCTTCTTTGAACTGTTAGTTCTTTTTTCCTCAAACCTAATTGGCTACAAATGATTCCACCAATCGTAATGTAAGTTGGAAAACAACAAATGACTAAGCGAATGGATTTCCCAATTAATAATTAGTTAATTTTTATCTATTCCGCCTCATTAATTCATTAATACCTTAAAACAAACGACAAAAAAGTGATACTTGAACAAACCAATTATTTTGGAGTATATATATTAAACTGAATACTAAAACACTATTGCATTTCTCTTATTTAATTGTCAATAAAAAAAGTTTATGTGGACTTTTTACATTTGAAGAAAATGATTATTATATAATCCATTCAATGCAATAAATATGAAGAGTTTAATTTCTATGAGATTTTATTATGATTTAAGTATAAAGAATATATGGCTATACTTATTATGGATTTATTCTTGCCTACAGTTTGGAGTTCATTGTGAAATTATCGAAGGTAAGAGTAAATATGGCTGCATTATTTTATTCCTTTATGTTCCGATTGGAACATAGGCCTTCAAGCTTCAACTTTGAAGTTTTGATGGCAACGGCATTATTTTCACAGGATGGGTATTGCTAGCCTAACGCCTAACTTCCCCGTCTTTATCAGATTTCTCACCGGCTTAGCAAAGTATATGAGTGCGTTGGCTGGCGATCGAACTCCGGAATAATTGTGGTGTGGTTGATGAGCAATCTGCCGCTGAACCAACCACGCTAATTACATTATTCCTTCTCAGAAATTATTAATATACAAAACTGAATGAATTGTATTCATTTATTCACATTTCATTTGTGAGCCTAAGTATACCGAGCTACTGACAAGCGATGTTAGCTGCCGTAGCATTACGTTGAAAAAGAGTTAATGGAGTGGTCAAACCAAAATCTGCCATCATTTCATGGAATCGTTGACTGTCCTGACTGTCATCCACGTTGGAAGATGTAGACTACCTAGTTAGGTTGTTCAGCAGATTGTTGGTGGTATGACTCAGAAGCGTTCCGAGTAGCAAATTTGCATTCATTCTTTGTAGTCTTATGGATCAATTAAGTTTTCATGTTTTTCCACGTTAGTATTCTTTCTCCCGTGTAATTTTGCTAATTATAGTTCTTACGAATTTCTCTTTTTCTCTCCTCTACCCCTATCTGCTACATAGAATGCTGCAGCTTGAACTGCTGCAATTCTTTGCAAAGTTCTACGTTGAGACTCAATCAGTCAATCATTCGCACATCAGCAGTTTATGCAGATGGTTTTCTGGATACCGTCTTCATTAAGCCTCTGAATGCCGAGTATATATTCTCTTAAGGCTTAACTAGATCTAGGTGTATTTACTTGTATCGCCACCTTCGAAACCAAAGGTTGTACTTATAAATATTACAGTGAGTGAGCACTAAATTCCGCACTGTAGAATAACTCAACCTTTGTAGTACTGACGGGTTCAGATGACATTTATACAGGATTCTTCTCTTTCCTACCAGGGTAAATTGACTTAATTTATTTAATTATTTAATTATAACTGCACTGTTAAGTTGATTGCTTAAACCGATAAGCCATGTATCAACTTCATAGAATGGATGTCTTTCCTGTCGACGTTCTATTTAGATTATTTTTCGAGTTAGTTTAACGACCTGCCAACTAAAATGGAGGCATGCTGAATATATTCTATCACAAAACGTGCCTTGATTCACTTCATTTTTCAGTTTAACTGTGAATTCTATAGCGATAAACTGGTTAGCTGTCAGACTTGTGTCAGTTGTATTCACTATTAGAAAATACACAGAAATCTCATAAAATGTCCGCCAGTATTTGCTAGATTCATGCCATTAAGCTTAGGGTTCTTCGTTAAACTTTATTTTTTCAGTTATTCTGTTCCAGTGCTGTCTGAGTAAAGCATAGGGGTACAAGCTTCAGCTTTGAGGTTTCAGCAGCAGTGATGGCATTTTTAAGGGATGAAGTTGCTAGCCCCTCTCCCAAACTTCTGTTTTTACCGGGCTTTTTACCCGTTAAGGGAAACTTATTAGTGCGTCAGTAGGGGATCGAATCCCAGACCAAGCGTATTCTACCTCTGGACCGCCAACAAACTTCGTTAGGGTCATTAAAATTTGCACACAATATTTCACAAAAATATCTTAAGGTTACCATCCTCCAGGCATTCCAGAAGATTAGATGATTTCAAAATTAGAACTACACATCTGGTATGTATTTATCCCATTCATAAACTTGTTTAACCGGATTTAATTTTCAAGAGGACTGTAACTAACTTCTGCACTCAAATTGTACTGACTAAAGGACTGAAGGTTTATCGGATAGAACAAAACTAAGTCAGATGTTTGTGCAGAATAAGATGGTGCTATTCTTAATTTCTAAAGTTCCTCTTCACCTGCATGTAACCTAAAAAAATTAGGCATATATGTGTAGGGAAATCTTAATCTACTTGCAAAAGTGACATGGTGTCAGTTAACAAGAGTCTTCAATATTTATAAATAGTGCTCAGAATTTACAGTCATATAGCTCGTACACTTAAAGATTCAGGTTTAAACAAAAGAAAACGAAAACAAGTGTTTTTACACAGAATGGAGGAGTTGCGTAATAAAGACAAGAGTTGGATAAGTAGATGATAAGTAAATAGTAAGTTCCGTAATAATGTTGTGAGTTCAAATGAAATCACTGATGCACAGCAGTTAGGACGCTCGCCGACCATGCGCATTGTCCGGTCGATCTCTGCCGACGCACACCTGATGTCCATGGTCGGCCTGCTAAATTTGGGCTACCAGCATCACATGCTGAATTCATATATATAAAACTGTGTGATCAACTATAAAACTAAAAAAAGCTAAAAAGAAAATTATAGCTAAATAGAAAAGTTAGAGTGAAGGATTATGTAATCGAATAAAAGTGAGAATTGAGACATCGAGTTACCAGGGTGAAAACAGACTGATAACCACTTCCTTCTGAAAACACATCAGTCGGGCTTTAAACATTTGACAACAGTTACTTCGAAAAACCTAAGGAGGATTGAATTCTACTGTCCATACTGTCTTTTTCTGCTCAAACTGTTGTTTTAGCTATATTCGTATTCATAAAGGGAAACAGGTGTATGAAGCTTATACGACTGCGTTATTTGACAAGTGAATGCACTAACAGTGGTTTCCTTCTTTCTGAACTGATACACTCGGTTCTTCATGGCATATGTTGAAGTTGACTCTATAAGCTGTCTGTAGATATAGATAACCAGACAGAACAATAGGCCAGTTACGATGTGTGTCGTGTATGTCGAATCGATGGTATAAGAAATCGTTATACCATAATCAGCAAAAGATAAATAACGCAACTAGTCTGTTAGCTGTTTAGAAACTAATTTCTTCATTTCCCTGTAATATTTCAAGCTTTGGTGATGATTAATATCAGTCTCAATCTCTCCAGAAAGTTAATTTTCATTGCAACAAATATATCTTTCTCAGTGAGTCATAGAGAATACGAAACATGGATGCAAATAAGGATACTGTTTCAATTCAGAAGTCAGATACTTACATTCACCACAATGTACAATGAATGAAGTTCTGTCTTCTGTCTATTATAGATCAAATCGAGATCCAAACAATCAGGTTGAAGAATTCCTCTTCATGTACCTTTCTAATGAAATTTACTCACTCTGTAAGGCGAAAATGATGCACGAAAGTGAGTGGTTCACTTGAATCTTATACGATTGACTGTAAGTGATTGTTTTTGTCATGAGCGGTTCTCAAACTCTCTCTTATCAATCGGTAATGTTGAGCATTTTTCTATATTGATGACTTTATCTGTCAATATCTATCCAGCAATCGACTTCTGAGAGGTGAGAATTACAATTCTTAAACAATGGTTTCACTTTTATCTTAAATATTTGCTCAATATTCTCACATTCACTTATTGATTACACTTTAATATGTGGTTTTTAAAAATATTTCTTTAGTTGTTCACCCACCGACATTTATCAAGACACCACAACCTGAAGTGTATATTAATCCAGAAGAGCCCTTAATAATTCCATGTTATGCAAAAGCCAAACCAGAACCGAGGTAAGTGAATAGAAATTAGTTATCTTATTAAACAATTAAAGCAGTTTTTTCAATATGGGGTAAAGAGATAAGCCATACAGTACTTGGTTTTTCTTTCATAAGGGGAATGAATTAAGGAGTAGTGTGCATTAGTGAGCATGCGAGTATAATTTCCCCCTGTTTGTTGTTTTATGATTTTTGAGACTGCTGAGATATTACCCAGACACTCAGGAAGAAGCAGGTGGTTTTTTGAAGATACTACTCTTTTCCAAGCACTTAACTTGAAGTCTGATCTACAAGGCAGCGGGACAGCATCGGTGGCTGAGTTCCCATAGGTCCATACTCCATTCGACCCTTCTAGATTTTGGAACCCATGTACATCATAGGTTTGTTATCAGGGTCTTCCAGACCCCCTTAGGCAGACTACCTTGTCTAGCTGTCCGGTTTTAGATTCCAGACGTTCACATTTGCCTTTTTCGTTTTGTAACAGCTTCCCATTGCGTGGATGCAGCAAATAGGTTTTACCTCATAGAGGGATGTACGCCTGCTGAGAAAATGAATAAATTTTAATTGAATTTCATTGGTTTTATAAGTTTATTTATTTAAAGTCCTAATATCTCAAATATATATGTATATATTATATGAATAGAAACTATAATAGGGAATTCTGACGCGTAGCTTAAAAATCGCATACAGTATACTGAAAGGTACGGGGAATTCTCCTCGTGTGCAAAAGCTGGCATCAGTGCAAATAAACTTAAGGTGCCTCTCAGTAGATCAACTGACTTAATGAAGTTCTAGATTTGGTAATTTGGGTTTCATGGAAGACTTAAGGCTGTCTGATATCTACAGAATACCTAAATACTGCGATTGTACACTTTATAGTATGTTTAGTATTTTAACAACTTTAGCATTGCTAGGAAATACTCAACTTCAATGTTTGAAGATTATCGTTAATCCATCAGACACATGACTTCTGTTGTGAAGTCGGCTAAGTTGCCTTCAGAACAAATAGTGCAATTTATAGAAAGCCAGTCATATCTTCTGCATTTGTGCCCGAGTTTTGCCAGACACCTCTCCACAAGAGATAATACCACTTCCCTTGTGAACTAATCTAGACTCCTTATAATCAGAAAAGTTTTTGGTTGAGATCATTTGTAAAAATTAGCTACTCACACTTTCAATTTTAATATTGGGATGTGCACTGCAAAAGCAACAAGTTAATCATAGAAGGTACTTGGAAACTTTACTAACCTACAGATCTTATGCATGTTAACTCAGTGGTGACGTAATGAATGCTGTTTGAAAGTATGTTTCAAAAATTCACTGTAAGATAGGTGGAATGTGTTACAATTCTTTTATACACTTGTCGAGGACCGCATAAATACACATGAGACTTCAAGTTAACAAATTAATTTTGGCCAGAAATATTTCATTTAAGGAAGAGTTTGGTAATTTTTATAAAGTTTTTAGCTACTAATATTTGGCTACCAAGGTCAACCATATTACTCTTATATGCAAATCAAATTTTTCTTACAATTCTCAAGTCTATGCCATTTAGTTCTCTAAACGCATAATAATGGGGTATTCATTTCTGTTCCACTGGCTGAGTGGTAATAAATTCATCTAGTATTCTCATTACCCTAGTCTCGATCACTGAACAGGCTGTGAGTTTGCATTACCGGAAGTCTCAAACTAGAACTAAACAACTTTTCGATCTTCTACTGGGAAGCATTATGTCGGTGATGACCTAGTAATACTTCTGATTTGTGGGTTCGACACTAATACCGGTTACTGATTGCATCTGACTCATAGAACCCATGAAAATGAAGACAGTAAACAGACTAGTCTATGCTGATGAGAACGATTCATTTTTGTCACAAAAAACCATCATATACAAACATTACATGACTCTGAAAATTAAACTAACAAAAGCCATCTATAAGGGTTGCATAAGGTCAGGCTACCAGGTTGTCCGATTGTATTATAATAAATATTCTGCCTCAGCCTGGTGATTTCACTTGTCTAGACTGGTTTAATTCTGTCTAGGCCTATTTGTTGGTGATTCACGGGTGGGATTCGCGTCAGCTACCCACGTGGTTCGGTTTTCAATTCCCTGCCTCAGCCTTATTAAACCCCCTTTTTGATTTAGTTGTGTTCGCTGAGCTGGTTGATTTAGTTGCTAAGATTTAATCGTCCTTCTAGGTAACATCTCCATAAATGATGTAATTGTGTCTCATGGCAACCATCTTCGTGATTGGTAGCTGATTTACATCTTCATTAATCATTTTTGTTAACTTGGAATTTGGACTTCCTTGTCACGTGATTTACTTTTTTCAGCATTTGGTAAATTTGGTCTATAGAGGTAATGTGTTTGTTAATCGCTGACTGATTCACTTGGGTATCAGGCTTCTAGAAATCCTCTGACACTTTTGGTGTTTCCTCTAATTAAAATTTCTACATTATCCCAATCAAATTGCTGTCCGTGATTATCTACATGCATCGATATAAAAGAATATATATCATGCCTTTTTACAGCGGATTTGTATTTTTGGATTCAGATTCGAAGGGGCTTTCCACTTTGACCGATGTCGCAGTTCATACGGTTTATTTTGTAAATGTTATTAATTTTATCTTTTTTTTCTATTGGATCTTTCGGTCCACACAGTGGCGGATGGAGCGACTGTGCTAGCTTGTGTGCTATATTTATTTCAAATAGTCTTAACATTCTAGCTGCCTAGTTTAATAACCAGTAGCAAGCCGGGAAAAGAGAGCAAGTTGAGCGTGAGACTAGCGGTTCTATCCCGTAAAAACAACACCGCGGTCAGTAATACTTAGAGGCTTCAAGTTTCAGTATATTCCATCCAAATGTCAAGGTCTAAAAAAGGCAAAGAAGCTTGTTTTAACTAGTTTGAGCCTGTTTGTGCCAGTTTTAGCCGCCCACTATCAGGAACTATGTTCAGTTCCAAGTGAATACTAAACTAATTGTAAATGCGATGAATATGTCAACAAAAGTGTTTTTTTAAAAAGGTTTTTAGGATCAATATTTTCAAGTATTGTAATTTCATGTTGGTTAGGGAGAAATTAGGGTAGTATTTTTTTGGCCAATAGTATGTTCATCCTGACTTGATACTGGTTGAGATGAAATCTTCTGATTTATTAACTTCCCTCTCCACAACCTCCCTAAATACAAGATTTTCATGTTAAAATTAAAAAAAGAGAAGTAATTCTCCCCATTCTCTAAGCTTCAGATAAACATATTTAATAACATGTTGACTGTACCGACATGTACATTTATCAGACATTATGGCTTTTTAAAAAGGACCCAGTCCCAATATTTACTTGTCTACTGAAATCATGTCATGCAAATAATTAGTAGTAATTATTGTCAGTATACACGAAATCAAAAATTTGATTTATGACTATAAATGCGAATAAGATTATAGTCAGTCTAATAAATACAAGGATGTCTCGTTTTTACATTCCCTTTTTAAATATAAATATTGGGTACAAATTTATACTTATACTGAAAACATTGTTTCCCTTGTTGTGCCCCCAGTCCCATCTCCACCCTCAATTCTCTCCCCCCCCCGCCACCAAACTGAACACCAAATGTACAAAAAATGATAATATACATGCAAGTATGTATCAGTTAACAATTTGTCCCATTCCTATGCTTTAAGCTTGAGAGGTTCAGTAGCAGTGGGGTTGCTAGTCTAACACCAGTTAAACTTCCCCTCTTCACCGAACCTACTAGTGATTGGCTAGATGAAGTTTAGGAGTGCTGTAGTCGGGAATCGACCCCTGAGCATCTGCAAAGTTGACGAGTATTCTACCACTGACGTAAATTCAAGTATTTTTGGTGGTAATCAATGATTAAGTTGACTTTTTAACAGTTTCCTTCTAGGTGACTTGGTACCTTTCCTTGGTAAACCCTAGATATATGTTAATATTGATAAAATCTTTAGTAGGATAAGTCTGTCTGTGTCAAAATTATGCTAATTACTACTAAAAACAAGTACCTAATTATTCATATAGACTCATGCTGAATATGTTGTGCATAAATAAATTTTAACAATTTACTGAAATAAAATGTTAGTAAAAAACAAATGGGATTAGTAATATTGAAGTGACAAATGCGATAGTGGAAGTGGTATGTCGTGTATAGCATAAATGGTATTTCATATTATTATTATAGTTATCCCCTAAGAATTCGATTTGAACATAGGGCTACAGTAGCTCATTTCCATCTCATTCATTTCTGTGCATTCCCTTTCACTCTTGGATGTCCAATTCGTCATTTCTCATTTGAGCGCCTTGCTAGCATGTGGTACTTCTCAGGGGTCTCTTCAGAGTGTGTTTGATCTATCTCTTTCATTTCCTTCTGTATATGTGTTAGGCATGAGCTTCTTGATTGTCTCGTTGCATGTCAGAGTTCCTTGCCTTTTGTCGTTTCCAATCAGTCGTTCCTCTAATTTTCAGCATCTAACTAGCGAATGGATACCTGTCATACCCTGTTGGGAATACTTTTCGACTAGTAAACTAACTGCTTTAATCACGAAGAAAGAGGAAAGATTGGCTGTGGAGATGGCAGCCCTACTCCGTAGAATCACTCCACTAGACATAGAAGCTTCAAAGCAATGTATAAGGTGTATAATAAATTAATTGATTTGGCTTTATGTTAGAGTTCACACTTCGAGAAACCTGTCACTACATATGATCTGATGTGAAATGCGTATTCGAAGTAAAAGAATAGACAGTGAGATTTTGGTACTATTTTCTGGTGTGCGTGTGCTTGTAGGCAATTTATCCTCCCTAACAATTTACTTGAAATCAAATGGCCAGAACAAACAAGTGACATAATATAATAATTCCCATTGTATCATTTGGAAGACAATACTCAGCGAAGAGACTCTTTTCAACGAATTTATTATCAAGCTGTACAATCGTATATATATGGTTTTCTTATAAAAAATTATATCCGGTGAGGGAATTAGGTCAAAGGTGTGAATACATGAAAT